CCCCAGGCTCAGACCCACGTGTCTGGACCAGAAGCGACTTTATTTCTCCGCGGAAGACGCCCTCACAGCCAGGCTGTGGGGCTGGGCCTGGCTCTGCCTGCCTTTCCCTCGGAGACCTGGGGGTCCCAGCCCCCTGCCTGCACCCCCGGGGCCGGAGACATCCTGCCGGCTGGGACTCGGAGCTGGTGGAGAGAGAGGGAGGCCTCGAGTCTCAGGGAGGGGGGGTCAGCTGGAAGCCCTGTGGGAGGGGGAGGGCCTCAGGGCCCAGCCCAGAGGAGGGCCGGCCCCAGGCTGAGCAGCAGCCCCCCCGCCAGGGCCCAGGGGCCACCCCCCGCCCTCGGCCCCCCGTTGCACAGATCCGTCCCGCAGCAGTCCACATCGACTTGTAAGATCCCAGAGTTAATGAAGCCCATCAGATAGTCCGAGAAGAAGTGCCGCTTAACGAAGTCGCAGGACGAGGCGCACATCTTGTTCACGGAATGGTCCTTCCTGCCTGGGGCAGAGCGGGGAGAGCCTGGGGCGGGAGCCGCACCTGCGCCCTCGTCCTCCTGCCCGCACGGGACCCACCCACGCTGCCTCAACTTCACGCAGAGGGCCACTGAGAGGGCCACGGAGGGGGCCTGGGCAGGAGCGACGCCGCTCACGGTCACACAGCAAGGCAGTGTCCTACCCACAGACCCACACTCTTATCCACGGCCGGAGGGGCTCAGAGGACGCCCCCAGCCGCCCCCTGCCGGGCCCAGGTCCTGACTCACTGCTGCTGGGGTCTGTGATCCGGACGCTGGCGCACACCGTGTCGGACGGCTGGCACTGCTTCGGGGTGCAGTGGCTCGAGTTGGTGGTCAGGGTGCAGTCCTGGCACCACAGGCCGTGAGCTGCGCAAGGCACGAGGACGCGGATGAGCAGAGGAGCTGAGGCCCAAGCTGGCCCGTGTGTGCCCCACTCCCCTGGCCACCGAGGCTGCTCCCGGGAGGACCGCGCAGCTCCAGGAGGCCAAGCACCACAACCCCCTCGCCGACCAGCGGTGACCAGGCCAGACTGGCCCCCGGAGGTCAGGCCCTGGGAGAACCGCGGTGCCTTCTGGGCAATCTGCGGGGAGGCTCCCAGCTGCCGCAACTCCGGAAGCCCCTGGGCACCCTCCGTGGCCCCACAGACACGTGTGCACACATGCACGCACACACCAGCCACACACACCTCACACTTATGGGGCTTTCCCGCAGGCTCCTGCACGCTCCCACACCTCCCCGCACAGTTCGGTCGGTTCCAAGCCAGGAAGGACTCGCTGGGAGGCCAGGTGGGGGCTCTGAGAAGCGATGGGGCTCACGAGGGGGCGTCCGTGCGGGACTAGCCCACGGTACAAGGGCGGGCAGGAGCCAGGAGGGCCCCGTGCGGCTGGGGCTGGGGCCGGAGCACCGTGAGTCAAAGCGACGGGCGCGAGGGCCCGGCTGGGGTCGCCGGGGTCGGGAGCGGGTGTGGACGTGACGGGCACCGTCGGAGGATGGCGGCCCCACAGCCCGGCTCTCCCGGAGACCCGGCCCAGCCCCGCGGGCCGCCCCCAGACTCACCGGGCGCAGAGCACAGCAGGGCGGCCAGCAGCACCAGGCCCAGGCCGTTCATGGCTGCAGGCGGCATGCTCCAGGCGGGCCTCGGGAAGGCGCGGGGGTTGTGGGCGGAGGTCCTCCGGGGCGCAGGCCTGGCAAGAAGACGCCTCGGTCAGGGGCCCCCGCCGCCCGCCAGACCCAAGCCCCCCCACCCCCTCCTTTTGCGGCCCCGGAGCGCAACCTCCGCCTGGAAATCCGGGGAGGGGAGGAAGGTCCGCTAGCTCGCGAAGCCCTACCCCCAGCCCATCCCCCAGAGCGTCCACCATCACAGCATCCCCTCCGGGGAGAACAGGTCCGCCGTCTCGGGCAGGGTGACAGCTCGAAATGCCCCCAACCCGCGCCGGGCACCTGTGGGGGGCGGGGGGAGGGTCGGGGGCAACGCGTCTTCTCCCTGGGGAGCGGCAGGTGCGTCCGGAGAGAAAGGGCAGGACAGGTGAGCTGGAGCCCAGCACCTGCCCATGGGGGAGGGGCGCGGCCACGTCCCCACCCCCACCCCTGGGCTGGGGGCCTGGGAACCCCGGGCCGAGCCCCCGCCCCTCGCCTCCAGCGCGCGCCAGCTTCCTGGAGTCAGTGGAAGCGCGGGCTTCGAGGTCAGGCCTCTACATCCCTGGGGGGGGAGCTCGCGGCTCCCAGGGCTCCAGGAGGCACGCGGGAGGTAGTCCTGCCCTTCAGTCTCCCCTACGGGACCGGAACGGGCGCAACCTTGTCTTCAGAGGAACGCAGCCACGGCTACTTTGAGACCCCACGCAGTGAGCCAGGGCAGGGGCACTGCACTGCCCAGGGGAAGGGGCAGCGGGAGAAAGGGCAGGCTGGGCGCCCGGGGAGGCCTCGGGAACCCCAGCAGGTCCCTCCCCGTCCAGGCCGTCCGCGCCCGACAACCCAGCGCCCGGCCGCGCGTCGCCCCTCCGGTGCCGGCTCCCTCCGCGGCTGTCTCCCGCCCCTCCCCGGCACGGGCGAGAGCCTTCCCCTCCCGCTTGGCGGAGAATCCCCGGTCTCAGAACGTTTACTGCGAAAGGAAGCGAGCAGAAACACGCACAAAGAACGCGCGCAGGGACGGAGGCGGGTAACGGCGGAGGGTGGTCGCTCCAGGCCCCACCTCGTTCTCAGCAGACTCCCAGCAACGAAAGGGGCCTTCCCAGGCCAGCCGTCCCGGTGTTTGAGTTTTGCCGGTGCCTTTTTACCAGCCCCACTCCAGGACCCGGAGCAGCCGTGACCACCCACCAGCGCCGCCCATCCGCGTCCGGCATGATCCCAAATGCTGGTCTCGGCATTCAATGCCCTCCGCCCATCTCTTGGCCTCTCAGCTCTCCTGCGCCTTCCCCGCCCACAAAGCTTTTGAGTGCTGCAATATTCCATGCCGCTGCCTGTGCCTGGAATCCGTCGCTGCTGAAGGCGCCAGTGAGCCCCAGCTCCTCACCAGTGTTGGTTGTTTCTTTTCGTCTGCCTTAGTTTGGCAGACAATATTTGTGTGTGGAGTTCCCGCGGTTGCCTGGCGGCTGAACGCACTGTTGAGAAAAGGCTCCGCCTCCCCACCCCCCACCCCATGCCGATCTGCACCTCAGACAAGCGGGTTAATATCCCTTGTGAGCTGTGCCTTCTGATCACATGGACCCAACATACACATAACCAGCTGTGTGCTCTGTGTAAACTCCGTGTGTTAGGCCCATGTAGGTGACAGCTTCACCTCCTGCAAGTGCTGTTATGGCTCCCCACCACACAATGAGCAAGCGGGAAGGCACAGACAGTTGAGCTCCCCCTTGGTCACACAGTGACAGGTGACAAGAAGCGGTGTTGGAACCCGGCTATACACCTTAACCCATGGGCTGGAGGAGTGAGGGGAAGGAGATAAGATGACTCCAACTTGGGGACTGGGGCTCCCACACTAATTCTTGAGTTCAAGGGGAAACCTGGGTGGCTCAGTCCGTTAGCTTGTCGACTCCAGCTCAGGTCATACGATCTCATGGTTGCATTGAGTTCCGGGCCCTATTCGTCGGGCTGTGCTTGCTGACAGCTGGGAGCCTGTTTCTTTGGAGTTCCTCCCCCTCTCTGCTCTCCCACTTCACTGCTCTCTCTCTCTCAAAATAAAAATAAACATTAAATATATGTGAACTTCAAAGTCAAAAATCAGCAAACATCCAAAAGAAAATGGGCCTCCAAAATTGACAGAAAGAAAGCGATGAAGAGAATCTGGGATGTAAAATATAAACCTTCTAAACTGGTGTCGCGATGAAGAGCTAAGATTCATTTGTGTAGTATGGGTTGAAGTTGGTGTAGGAAAAAATTAAGGCAGTGCCAGAACTTTGTGCTTTTTTGTTGGAGGGGGAACCTCTAGAAATGAAAAGCTCTCACTGAAATTATTAGCAGGTCATCAGAAACTGAAAGATTTAGGCTATAAATGAAAAGTAAACATATATATAAATGCCGAAAGAAGCTTCATTTACAGCAAGAGATGTCGAAATAAGCGAAAATCAAGAGAGAAAGTCAATCCATGGTGGCCTCAGCTGGGAGAAGAAGGAATGAGGAACTTCTTGCTGTAGTGAATCCAAGGACGTTCTTTCAAGTGACAGAAAATGTCCCGAAAATAGAGACTATCATACACAACACTGTGAATGGACTAAAACCACTGGATTAAAAACCTCATTTGAACTTTATAATTGTGTGAGTCATATTTCAACAAAAGCTGTTGTAAAAAAAAAAACAACAACAAATACATTAGGCGGCAGGCACATTAGATACCACTGAAAGGAAAAGGAATTTACAAACTGGAATTTAAATCTGAGAAATTATGTCGAGACTTCTTGATTGATTAACATGAGGGGATAAAGTTTGAAAATAGAAAAGAAGTTGAAACTACACAGCATACCGTGCTGACGCCCGAGAAGAGGATGGTCAAAGTCCCAAAAGGAAAGAAGAGCCAGCAGTGAAGAGATTATGCCTCAGAACTGGCGACAGGTAAAGCATTGACATATACTAAATGGAATAACAAAAGAAAATTGTCACACCCTAAATTTGTAGAGTGAAATCACAGACACCAGCTTGACAGAGATCTTTTTAAAATAGCCAAAGATGGGGCACCTGGGTGGCTCAGTTGGTTAGCGTCTGACTTCAGCTCATTGAGTCTCACAGTTGCTGAAACTACATGGGGCTCGGCCCCTTCGGGCAGGGCTGCTTCCAGGATTCTGTGTCTCCCTCTCTCTCTGCCTCCCACATTTCCTTCGCTCTCTGTCTTTCAAAAATAAATAAACATTAAAAAATTTTAATAAAATAGCCTAAGGAAAAGAGCGATATCGCACTAAAGAAACAAGCAAACTGACATGAAATGGATGCCCAGACTTCCAGGTAAAAATTATACTTCTGGTGCTCAGAGGAAAGTAACTGCCAGCTAAGAATTTTCTACACCGTTTTCTGCCGGAGGCCAAGCTATCCAAGGAGCCTGATGGCAGGGCCAGCCGAGGCCGTTGGGCGGATCCCTCGGGGGCTGCCTCATGGCAGCCAGAAACTTCTTGTCTCCTCCTGCTTTTATGTAATTTGTATACTTGCGTTGGTCGGGCAACCCCCTACTACAATAAAGTGCCTGGGGATTTGTCGTTTGGGGTTGCCCACGACAGGCCCCCCGGGAGAAGAACCACTGGGGAAAGACATAAGATTCCGCAGGGAAATCATGCGGCCCCGCATCCAGCCCTTGCCACCCCCTAGAAAGACTCCTCTACCCAAAGGAAGGATGGGCCCATATATTTCCCAGCCGAGGAGGGGGACGAATGGGTTCGAAATCCCCACTCCGCAACAAAGGAATGTACCTATGGATACAAGTTGCTCCAACCCCTAGGCCCGCTTGGCCCCCAGGAGGCATTCCAGATGATAACCGGACCTGGGGGGTTAAGGTACAGAATGGCTCATTAGTTCCCAGGTAAACGTTGTCTCTCTGGGAGCGCATAAGGCGTGGGTTTCCAGGGCCCTCCTGGCTCCCTCCCGGCACCCAGGCCAAAGCTTTTGTTCCTTGTGCCGCAAATGGTTCAAAGGAACCATTAAGAAGTCACGTCCCTGTAAACGTTCCACTTGAGGTGTTAAGAGCTGGATGACCTTGAAAGAGCAGGAGGGAACTTACAAGAAAATAACTATGTTGTTCCTTAATGGGTGATTACACAAAAGAACGTTTTTAGAATTAGGTAATGCCGAGAAACATAGATAACACAGCTACAAGAAAATTGCTAACAAATGTAAGGCCACGCTTGCCACAATAAAGCGGCCAGTCGAACCCACTGCCGTTGTCCGTGTCCATTTGTTATTTTCACCGACGCCGTTCATCCTTCGGGAACCCCCGGACCTGCTGGGGCGGGACCTCGGCAGTTTTCCAAAAATAAGCACAAGAGAAATTTTTCAGATAATGAAAGGTTTGCACGTAAATGTTTTCTGACAACACTTTGGAGGAGTTGTGAGGGTTTACCGCTAGCGGCCTTTCATTAAAGGAACTTTTGGAGAATGCACTGCAGAAGGAAAAGGTATTCCAGAAGGAAGGGCTAGACTCGAGAAGGAAGCGTGTGGGGAGAAACTGGCTTCTGGGAGAGAAATGGAAGCTGGGGTCGTCATCTGAGGCGGGAAGAATGTCCGAAACGTGAAGTTTGAAAAGACTGAACCCGAGGACAAGGCACGTGCAACGGGCGGGGTGACTGAGTCAGAGGGTCCTGAGACCCGTGCGCTGTTTGAGAGGCAGCGCGGGACACGGACTTTAGACAGTGCTCGGACGATAAGGGTGCAGGAGAAAGCCTCCAGGTAACCAGCAGAAGGGCCAGGGTCAGCGCCTCACGCGGGAAGGGAAAGAACGTCCGTGTGTCACAGCACCCAGATATTTAGTCAGACGCTGTCCTGGTGGTTTCTGTGAGGATGTCTGTAGGTGAGGTTGACATGTACATCAACAGGGGCGCCTGGGTGGCTCAGTCAGTTGAGCGTCTGACTCAGCTCAGGTCATGATCTCGCTGTTCATGACGCATCAGGCTCACTGCCGTCACACAGAGCCCACTTGGGACCCTCTGTCTCCCTCTCTCTGCCCCTCCCTCACTCATGCTCTCTCTGTCTCTCTCTCTCAAAAATAAATCAACATTAAAAAAAAAAGCATTTCCATCAGTAGACTTCGAATGAAGCACATTGCTCTCCATGGTGTGGGTGGGCCTCATCCAATCAGTTGAAGGCCTGAATAGAACAAAAACAGACTCCCTCTGAGCAAAAGGAACTTGTGCCGGCAGACAGCCTTTGAACCTGAACTGGAACATTGGCTCTTACTGACTCTTCTGCCCGTTGGCGTGCCCTGTGGGTTCTGGGCTTGCCAGACTCCAAAATCACACGAGCCAATTCCTTACAATGACTCTATGTAACTCTACACGTCCCATTGGTTCTGCTTCTCTGGTGAACCCGGCCCGTTACAGGGAGTGACTTACACCTGGTAAGTGAGGGCCGCTGGAGCTCGAAGCCCGCTGCAGTCTCTGTCCCTGTCCCCCACTGTCCCAGACTTCCCGTCAACATCATAGGGAAATGCAGG